CGATATTCTTTTTCTCCTTCATCACCATCACCATATTATTGCATGTCTGGCTGGGCTCTTTGTCCAGCCCCACATCTTGTCAGGCACTCTCAGCAGAACATCCTTATTTTGGCATGAAATGCTTCTCTTACATTAAATTCCTTCAACTTACACACACACTCCTTCTTGGAACATACTCCTTTACACCTTCCTTTCTCTTCACCTTTTAAGCAACATGTCACATACAAGCAATCTGTACTGCAGGACACATTCTTCCCTGCTATAACCTTTACATCCCAAAATAAAACTTCCTATCCGATTTCCTAACAAAAATATTATCAACCTGTGTTTTTGTTCCACCTGACTCATAAATAATCATCCTACTGAAACTCTTCTTAAACAACATGTTGGATACAACCATGTCCATTGCATCCCCAAACTTCAATCACATCACAGCTGCTAAAAAGAAGAAATTTCCAAGAGCAAATAATATCCCATTGTTGCTGTCTCAATAACTGGTGTAGAAACTTTTAAACAGTGAAATTAAAGGTGAATATTATACACATTTTGGTAGGTGTGACCAGATGACAATATGAATTGAGGGATCCTGATGTTGAGTGCCTTCTTCCTCTATTAATTTTAAGGTACACCCAAAATTTTTAAATTTCTGCTGCTTCGCACAAATACAAAAGGGTAATGACTCGGCCATTTGTTGACTGTTAACAATGTCAAGAGAAACCCATATTTTATGAATAAACTTAAATTAGAATGAAAGGAGGAAACCCTGTTCAGAGTTAAAAAGGCAGTTGGGTATTGAGAGTATTGGCGAGATTTTGTGTAGAAACAAACTGAGATGGTTCAGGCAAGTGGAGAGAATGGAGGAGACCAAATGGGTCAAAATGTACGAGTTTGAATGTGAAGGGAGGAGAGCCAGGGGTAGGCCAACAATGATGGGGAGAGTTTGTAGAAAATAACCTCCAATAAAAACCTGAAGGGAAAGGCTGCAAGATACAGCACAGAATGGAGAAGTGCTATCAGGTAAATGCTCATAACATGATGATGATGATGGATTATCCAATGAATATAACTTTTATTACGTCTACAACTAACCTGGCTGTCCAAGTCCAAGGCCAACTATGTGAAAAACTCCTTGTTTTCTGGTAGAGTTGTGATAATCCTTTTGTCTGCCATCATAATAGGCTGCCAGCTTGGTTAAGGCTTCCTCTTCCATAGGGTGACATTCCCCACAAACAATAAGAGAGTGAAGTGGCTCACCAAGGTCAGACTCTGCTAGCTCTGTAATAAAGTCATTAACCCTTTCACTATGGGACGTCACTTTTAATATTCTATTTGGCTATCGTCAGAAGATTTTATTCACCTCAGAGTGGAGCCCGTACACAAGAGATTAAAAATATGTTATAAGATAATAATATAAAGAGAAATTGAGTTTCATATGCATGACTGCCCATTAAGGTCACTGTGGATATAGATCACTATATACTACAATAAGTCTTTGATGAGGGAGTGTCCTATTGTCAAGGTGCTGGAAGAGATCCTGCCCAAGACACTGTGGTGTTGGGGGTATGAAGAGTTAAAGACAAAGAGATTTCTTGCACTGTTTTATTTATGGATTAAAAAGAATTCTACAATGTAATTAAATATCACACTGCTGTTCCTTCATTTTATTATTCTAGCTGTATTTACTTAACAACGAACGTGACATTTGGCGACTTTGCAAGGACACAGCCGGGGAAAATGGAGAATTTACTTGAAAAATTAAGGCACTGAGTATTACAAGTGACAGTGCTTTTCAATTTTTCCACCCGAAGAAAGCATATGAATGTGAAGTAAGACAAGCTCAGAGAAAAGAGCGACTAGCACAGATGGAAAGAGAAAAAGCAAAGACCAGCAGAGGTGCAAGAAAAAGAGAGGAAAGAGAGAGACAAGGAACAAAGACATGAATTACAGAAATTAGAATTCCAAGCAGCCAAGTGAACCCCCAAGGAGGCATCATATTTAAAGTTTCCACAGTTGCCAATATCCTCTTGAGGTAAGGAAGACACCGATAGTTATTTAATAAGATTTGAAAGATGGGCTACAGCTGCAGGGATTAATGTAGATCAGTGGTCACACACATGTTTGGTGTTGTACTGTACTTGCAAGGAAGGTTTTAGTGGTTTATTCACATTTGTCTGGAGACAACGCTTCAGATTACCAGGAATTGGAAGTTGCATTATTAAAGCAATATGACATGACTGAAGATGGATTCCGAAGACAGTTCCGAATATTAGAGCTCATGCAGGAGAAATTCCCGAACGGTTCACTACAAGGATGATTGGAGCTGGCTCAAGGCCATACAAATTATGAGGGCAAGGAGCTGGCAGTATTTTTTAAAGAAAGAGCACCAAACACCCATAAAGTTACTAACACAACTTAACCATTATTTGCTTCACACATAACCAACAGCCAGCAGATTGATTTGGTCAAACAGACACCCACACTCATCAGTTGCCAGACAAGATTACTGGGGTGTGGTGCTATAGGTTATGTCTTACTAAGAAAAATCAGCAATGTGGGACAGACTTCAAGTCAACATTCAGTGCAGTTCATGCAGTTAGAACACAAGTGAACAACTCTGAAGTAAACAAACTTTACACCGAGTTTCCTAATTCAAGAACCGGCGATGAAGCATGACTAGACCAAACAAGAAAAGGGTCAGATCAGGTCCAGCAAAACACAAGACCAGTGGAAAATATAACTTTAAAATGATTAGATGTGGTGTTGTAGGACAGTAACAAAGAAATTCTTAATAATGCCTAATTCTATGAACATATAAGCCAATTAGTAATGAAGATTTTTTGTTTTATTCAAGCAGTGAGTAAGGTGGAGGTGTGTTGAGCAGCTGGGCTTTGTCTGGCTACAACATGTTAGCAGAGATGCCAATTAGTCTAATTCTTATGATATCTTCTTGGTATAACTGTTAACCAAGACTCTAACATTTCTGGTTAGATTGTCAAATTCTTGTGCGATACTGTACTGTCAAAGAAACAGGGTAAAGCAGACTCTGCACAGATGAGGGATGAGTAAGGCTTACCAGTAATTTATTTAAACAGTTACACATTCAATTTCAAAGCTTTTAAACACAGTATTAAAACACTGTGTGAGCAAAAAACAGTTCCATATCCATGCTGACTCCAGACATGAGTTGCAATTCATAGAAAAAAACTTGACTTGCGACTCTCTCCCCTCAAAAAAATAAATTAATCTTGATCCGAGACTCAATATATGTGGCATATAGACATGTCTGACATTTACTTTACAACAAACGTAACAATTATAATATACCAACTCAACTACAACCGAACTTTTTTGAAGGAATTAATCATTACTACAGTACTCAAAAGAAACCACATTTCTGACCTTTTAAAGTGCCCCTCATGATGTGTTGTGAACTTGTTCCAACTCTAACAATTCCAACACATTGGGTGTCCTTGGTCAAGAGCCATTCATTATCATTTCCTGGGCCCCTACTACTGTCTGGTGCACCAGCATTGTGTCTCTGCAGCACAGTCAGTAACTGCTGAGCTGCCTGATGGACACTCATGTAACGTGGAGGCTCAAAGATTTTTCTTCCTCTCAGCAAATTTTCTAAACTCTGCTCCTTCACCTTTATATCTGAAATATATAATTATATACTGATAAAAATAAAAAATATATTACCTAACTAAACTGTCATGTACATACAGCCTTTACAACAAAATAGTAGCCTTGTTTCACAATTTTTCTCTATTTAGGTAGTAAATAGTACAGTATTAGCTAAAGAGCTTAGGGTCATAACTGTGCAGGGACAGATTAATTCCTAACTGCCTCAACCACCAGTTTCAGGAACAAATGACTCTTGCAGGTATATGTCTGCAACATTAAATATCTTAGTAGATAAGGTATATTCCATACAATAACATGCAAGACTTACCGGTAGTAAAAAACACTTGACTTTTCTCTACATGAAAAAATTAAGAATTTCAATACTGTACTGGCCTCAGCTTGTGTTGGGCATTATTGCAAAGTTTGACCCAGCAATGGAACAACACACTGACAATGTCAATGGGTTTAAATCTCCTCTTGATGACTTATAGTCCAGGAAAATTAGAAAATTTTTATGCCAAATGTTGAACTAATTCATAATAAAAATATACAGCATAGTCTCGGTTTACGCGGTCAATTAAACCCGTGGAGCTCCATTTAAAACGAAAAACGCGTAAACGAAATAACAGAACATATGGGATTAATTGAAATAAAGACTGGACTGACCCCCAGACTACCCTTTATCCGACACAATACGTACGTTGTAGTAAAAATAACATCTTAATTTTATGATGGTATGCACACACAATTAATATTTAAGAGAAATATCTATAATATTAGGTTTTTTAACACTTACGTTAGTAGAAGAGATGGCTGGGCACACGGGGATGGGGGGAGGGGGGTTGGTTCCGAGGCAGACGGCAGAATATTGGCCCTCGCCTGTATCACTTGTATCACCGATTGTCCGAATTTTCCGGTGAATAATAAATGATATAAGAAACACCAAAAATACAGTACAGTAAGACCTCGCTTAACGTCGTACTGCTTAAAGTTGTTTCAGTACTGCGTCGCTGACCTTAGAAGACCAAAAATTTGTTTAACGTCTCGGTGATCCAATACTACGTCATTTAGCGTCGTCACGGACTACTTTCTACGGCGCATAATCCTCTCTTGTCTGGCCGCGCTACGCTCTCAGCTCGGCGCGCTGCCCTCACTCGCGGAACGCCACAGCGTCCCCAAGCGACCCCAAGCCATTCTCTGTTACGCCTTCACATCATTCGTGTGTGCTTAAGTGCTTTTGCTTTAAAACTGTACTATAACCATTCGAAATGGCTTCGAAGCGCCCATCAAGTGCTACTGATGCTAGTGTAGGGAAGAGGCAACGTAAGACCATTACCCTTGATACGAAAATGGATGTATTAGCTCAATTTGAATAAGGGGAACGTGCTGTGGACATAGCCGCTGTGCTTGGTCTAACCCCCACAACGGTGCGTACTATCCGGACCAACGCTGACAAGATTAAGGTTAGTGTTGGAAGTGCTACTACTCTGAGTGCTACTAAGATGACCCATACTAGAAGCACTGTGATAAGAGAAGGTGGAAAAGATGCTGGCTATGTGGATGAAGGACCAGAATCAACACAATGCCCCTGCGAGCCTTATGGTTATCCAGCAGAAGGCCAGATCCTTGTTTGACAACAAAGGTAAAAGAGGGTGAAGGATCGAAGGAAGAGACCTTTATGGCCAGCCAAGGATGGCTTCAATGAATTAAACGTCATTATAACTTCCACAATATTAAGATGACTGGTGAAGCTGCCAGTTCAGATGCGGTTGCTGCCGAGACATTCCCGCCAGAATTCAAACGGATTATCCAGCAAGGAGGCTACTCACTGAAGCAAGTCTTCAGTGTGGATGAGACTGGTCCCTTTTGGAAGAGGATGCCTGAGAGGACCTGTATCTCCAAAGAGATATGGTGTGTGGCGTAAACAATGGCCTGAGTGCGTCAACAGTTTTACGGGATTCACGGACTTAGCCCCAGCTGTGAATAGGAATATCCTCAGCTTGGCTAGACAGGCAGGCTTTGAGGAGCTGGAATCAGAGGATATTGAGGACGTCCTGGCATCCCACACAGAAGAGCTCACCCTCCCCCAGCATATTTAAAATCTTGCGCCTAATGTTTCCCACCAGACGCGTCTCTGGCCACGCTACACAGCTGCCTGCCACCCTCCCACACCCTCAGTTCTCACACTGATGCTCTAGTGACCTGACATACTGTGTGACACTATCTCTCCTACCACGTGTATCAACCATCACCACTATGTCCAAGAGGCCAGCTACTACATCATTAACTACCCCACAGGGCAAGAAATCAAGGCAAGCAATTACACTGGAGCAGAAAATCAAGGTGCTGGAAGCACTGCAGCGAGGAAATGATGCGCCAAGTGTGGGACGTCAATTTGGACTGTCGGAGAGCTCTGTCCGCACAATAAAGCTCAACGAGAAGAAAATTAGAGCAGCCTATGCTTCACCAGATGTTGCCAAGGGTAAACTCCACCTGAAGAGTGCTATGTATGGTGAGATGGAAGAAGCACTTAAGCTATGGGTAGAAGACATGCAGCACCAAAAACTTCCTCTCACTGGCCCCATGCTGCAAAACCAAGCCTACAAAATACAGTCTCGGATACTTGAAAAGAAAGGGAAGTCCCTCAAAGACAGTAAGTTCACAGCAGTACAGGCTGGCTGTACAAATTTATCAAAATGACTGGGCTACGGAATGCGATGCTTTCAGGTGAAGCTGCGTCTGCCGACGAGGAGGCGGCCGAGGATATGAAGAAAGTTTTGAAGGATATAGTTTTAGAAAATGGTTATTCTTCTTGCCAAGTGTGGAATTGTGATGAAACTGAACTCTATTGGAAAATAATGCCCAAGAAAACCTATCTAATAAAGAGTGAAGAAAAAGCACCAGGGATTAAGGTCAGCAAGGACAGACTGACGATTCTCCTCATGGCAAATGCATCGGGCACCGCACGAATGAAGCCACTCGTCATCCACCACTCGGCTAGACCTCGTGCTTTGAAAAATGTGCACATCCCAAAACTTCCTGTAATTTGGCGATCAAACAAGGTGTGGATGACTTCTGATATTTTCGCTGAGTGGTACATCAGCCATGCCACCCCATTCATCGAAAATAAGTTGAAAGGAAATTGAACCTTAGCAACAAGGCCTTGGTTCTCATGGACAACACATCTAGCCATTCCAAACACCTGTGCAGTGTGAATAAGGACGTAAACTTGACCTTCTTCCCTCCGAACGTGACTTCACTTATTCAGCCACTAGATCAAGGTGTTATTGCCTTGTTCAAGAGATATTACCTCAAGAATACCATGAGGCAAATGGCTGAAGCTATGAACAAGGACAACAATATGACTGCAGCAACGTTTTGGAAGGCTACACCATCAAAGATGCCATAACTAACATCACACTTGTGTGGAAAAGTGTGCCAGAAACTGTACTAAATGGAGTGTGGCGTAATCTGTGGACCGAGGTAGTCCATGATTTCAAGGGATTTTTGATGAAGGCAAGGACGTGAAAGACATTATGAAGCTTGTTAAGAAGGTGAGAGGTGATTCAGGATTTCAAGAAATCCAAGAAGAGGAAGTGACTGAACTGCTTGTTAGGATGGAGGATCCTCTCACTTCTGAAGAAGTCTGGGAGATGGTGGAGATGGCGAAAAAACACAAGGAAGAAGAGGAAGCGACAGATAAGCCCCAAACAGTGGGGAAGGAACTGACAATTCATAAGCCGAGGGAGTTTATGCAGCACGTCACTTCTGCCACCCAGTCTGCACTGCAACATGACCCCGATATGGAACGCAGTATGCAAGTGGTGGAGGCGTTGACTCGGGCTGCATCTCTTAGCTGCTAGATCAACTGATTAAGGCCCAGCAACAGAAGAAAATCACCTCATTCTTCTGTCCATTATCCTCATCAGGTGAGTTTGTTATGAAACTGAGTGTTATGAAACAGTGTTTATTGCTCGGAAAAATAGACATTAAGTTTTGGGTATATGATATGTAATAATTATGTGGTAGAAATTAAAAAATTTAATGAATGTTTTCCATTCCTTCAACTCCTGAGGTAGCTGACCCATCTACATCTGGGCAGACACGGCCGTCATCCAGTGCTTCCCGCGTGTCAGATGTGTCAACAGCCACACCACTAGACAGTGTTGTGGATGATGAGCTGGTCGAGTTGGGCTCTGCATCTTCAGAGGATGAATTGCCTAACTAAAGGTGATTGAAAATCTATTTTTGATAGCATAAAGTAAGTAAAAAATAAGTTGAAAGGAAGTGAGTCAGATGAGAGGCAGGTGGTGAGTGGCACCAGTGCCACCACCCTCTCCCATCAGCTGCTCGCTAGTAAACAGACCATTTCGCATCCCGTAATTTTAGCCATGTTGATTTATGAGTGTTTGTTTTAGCATAATACTACAGACTGTAAAAAACAATGTTTTGTTTATTCTAGGAGATGGGCTGAGGTGCATCTGGGTGTATACTCTCAGTCAGTGGCCCGAGGCAGCAGACGGTACTACGCAGTATCGGTACCGTCCAGCTCTCAACTCGACTGCAGGGAATGCTTGCTGAATATATATCATTACACCATATATTTTTCTCATATTTACTAGTTAATAAAAGTCTTTGTTAGAATTTTGTGTTTGTCTCAAGTACCAAACTAAATTATTCCATTGAAACAACACTTTGATTTCGCGCGAATTCGGTTAAAAGCGACCTCTCTTGGAACGTATCTCACATTAAATCAACGTTCTAGTGTACGTTACTGTAATAATCTGTGCTTATTAATACAAGTACCTTTCATATACAATACAGTATAATACTATGTATATAACTCATAGGTAAAAAATTATGTCATTCCAGACATATTCAGATCAAAAGACCCACTAATCCCCCACCCAACACTCAGTCAGGTTACTAACGTTACCCAATAATCTCCCACCCAACCTTCATTGCAAGTGTTAGGACATGATTTATTATGTATTACAGTCAATTGAGTGAAGTGTGTAACAGAGACGTGACCGATCGCCCAAGAGACTAACGAGCCGATCAGTGGTGAAGAGGGTAAAAGTAACAGCTATATTCACACCCATATCATAGAGCTTTTCTTTTTTAATATATTTATTTAACCAAACATTTAGATAAAGTATTCAGGATTATTTTGATAAAAAAATAATGTCTAACGAAATTATAACTGATTTTACTGACTCCGGTATTAACATTTCTTACATTTTTTATAAAAAAATGGAATCCCATCACTATATAATATAGAAATATTTTGTTTAAGGATATCTTATTGGAAACGTTTCATAGAGAATTTATTAAGGATCATTATGGTATCAAATACATCTCCCTATCACAATTAGCCCCGCTTGAGTGAGGAAGGGGGGAGAAAATTGACCGTGTGACCCTCCCCCCCCCAACCCCCAAAAAGGTTCGACTCCCACACTCTTCAGCCAAACATTACACATCAACACACGCACGCACGCACGCACACACACACACACACACACACACACGCACGCACGCACGCACACACACACACACACACACACACACACACTCCAACACCACTCACAAGGGAATTAAGACAGCAGACATAAGGAGTGAGGGTCTTATTGTGTGACAAATTTGTGTGTGTGACTGTGAGTTAAATATCAGCTGTTGAGGAGCACTTGGCAACACTCATTCCCACTCCATCTCTCTAATCACCCGCACCTTTCTGCTTTCTCTCCATATTTTAAAATGTTATGTTATGTAATGTAATGTTAAAGGGATACAACTTTGCTCACTTATACTTATCACAATCTTTCTAAAAATACTTTAGGTTTTGTGTTTATTCAAGACATCTTCAGGTCATGAGACCCACTAATCCCCCAGCCAAGAAAGGGTGACTTGACATTCCATCAGAAGGTCAGTAATATGACACCACTAATCCCCCACCCAACCCCCACCTGACATTGTGTCAGGTCAGGTACACGAGACCCACTAATCCCCCACAGCTCCATGGGAGTGGAAAATACCAGTCGTTGCTGTAACACACAGCTTCATTCATGCTTACATCATATAGATATTTATTTTTTAATCATATTTATTTAACCAAACTTTTAGATTAACTATTCTGGATTATTATAGTAAAGAAATGGAGTTTCTAACTTAATTAGAACTGCATTTATGGACTCTGGTAGTTTAGATTCAAAGAAAACATCCCCAGCACCCAGAAACATTCTGGGTAAGTGGGCTAGTGTCAGTGTGTGCAAGATGTCCAGTTTAGACACTCGGAAACTTTTCCCAGGAACCGGAAAATATTCCAGGGATAAGAAATTTTTCCGGGTTTGAGAAAGTCGTTTGGTTAGCCGGAAATCTCTCATCCCCGGAAGTGCTCTGCACCAATTGTTCCGACTAAAGGGTATATCACTATACCCACCACCAGCAGACCTTCTGAATGATGTAAGATAAGTGATCCCTCTGTCCCTTCAAACATTTCTGAAAGATGTCATCATAAAAGGGACAAAGAAGAGGGATAAAGAACAACTGAGAAAAAGTGTGATGTCATCGCTCACAACATTATTTCTGCCGTTAGGTTACGATCTTTCCTGTCGCAGATTCATATTGGTCTTGGAGTGTATATAGTAATATACACAGGATATAAGAATCAAAGCTGATGTTGGATATTTTGTGGTGACAAGAATAATGCTGAAACCCATGACAGTTTTGCTGTGGAAGTTTATAATGTAAAAGATACTCCTAATAATGAATGCACATTTGATACCGACCTTAATTATCACGACGGCACTGAATTTGACTCGCAAATTTCATGTGTAACTACTAGTACTGAACAGGTTGCAAAGCGAATGAAACTGTCATAAAAACACTAATCATGGAATAGGCCTACAGGGGATACAACATTAAGAAAAGGCGCCATGTACTGTACCTCATGGGTGGTGTGGAAACCGGAACCAGATGACGTATAAATAGCGAGGGGTGTGGCCAGTAGTGAAGATTTTTTTTTCTTGGAAAGTTTTAATCCTACACAAAAGCTGAAAATACCCAAATGTGCAGAATATTGCGCTTTTTTATTTTGTTATTAACTGTCATGTCTCAAAAAATCAACAGTTAATGAGTAAAACATGAAAAACTGCAAACAGCTGCCATTTTTTCAAGATGGCGACAGAAGCTCACCTCGGATAGATCAGGATGTTTGGTACGCTGTTTAGAAACGTATTTTCACTATTTCTACCAAGTATCATTTCATTTTGATTTAGTTCAACTTTATTTCCTAATTTCCCCGGACTATTAGGAAAAACATTCAAAAGATGGTAAGTGACGGACATCCACTGATAATAATGCCATAGTAGAAAGAAGTTCAAGCTACAGCAGAGAAGGTTGGATCCTTTTATGTTTAGTAATTAGGTATAACATCCTGGTCAATATCAGTCATTTGGATAAATTACTGTACTAGTACAGAGGGCCCCCCAAATTCACAGTGGTTAGGTTCTCAAAATGGCTATGAATCACCAAATAAGCGAATAAAATTTGCTGACCGGGGGGGTGAACATTTTTACTTGTGTGCAAAGAAATGTATATTCCCTTTACGTGATTGCCCTTAGGACAATTATTTCTTTTACCTGTATCGTATAAATGTGTGTGTGTGTGTGTGTGTAGACACACACACAAAATACATACAAATAAATAATAATGGGAAAATTCACTTCACAAATAATCAGAAACAAATTTATTCAAAATGTAACAGTCTACCCTCAAGTCTGCTCCATGCTTTATTAATAAAGTAATAAAGCACGGAGTAGACTTGAGGGTAGACTCACATTTTTAATAAACTTGTTTCTGTTTTTTTGTGAGAATATTTTCCCATTATTATCTACAGGTGTTCCTCTACTTACGAACGAATTACGTTCCTAAGGCTTGTTTGTAAGTCCAACTTTACTCTTGTAGATGCCAAACATACTATTGTAAAAAATGAAAAAATTATGGATATTTATTACAGCAATACCCTTTAATACAGCCTTAAAACCTGGCTCACTCTTCTCCTCTTAGGTAATGTTTGTTCTATCTGGAATTTTCTTCAAAATAATCCAGTCTCATCCACACTAAACACCTGTTCTGGCAGGTAACCCCCCCTCAGTGATGATGTTTGTATCTCTGAAAGTTTGTAAGTTGAACGTTCTTAAGTAGAGGAGTACCTGTATTTGTATGTGTTTTGTATGTGTGTGTGTCTCTACACACACACACACACACACACATATTTACAATTCAGGTAAAGGAAATTACTGTCTCTAGAACGAATGGCTTCCTGTCCCAGCCGCAAAAATGACGGAAACTTTAAAACTACCCACAGACATTCTTGGGTACATTCAGAGTGTCATCCGCAAATAATAGAGGACCGTGAAATAAAAATCAGAGAATTTGGGGGCCCCTGTAATCTCTTCGTTAACCAGAATCTTTGATCCCCGAAACTCTGTAACAGCCAGATTTTTTTTCCAGCATTCCGAGAAATTCGGGGAAAAAGTTCTCTCCATTTCAGGCACAGGAACAATTTCCGAAGACTGCATCATGCGCATTTCCGGAAAATGGGCACAATTTGGCCTGCCTGTATCACAAGCTTAAGATATCAGTATCTATTGGTGAGTACAGTATAGTGTACAGGGTAAACAGTAGTAAATTTTGTTTATTTACAATACTACATTGCACATGTACAGTGATGTTTGCGAGGTGCGGAGTTTAGACTCTCGGAAACCTTTAACCAGTACCTGGAAAAATTCAGAGATGTGAGATTTTCTTCGGGGATGAAAAAATTTGTCTCCATACCCAGAAATCTCTCAATCGCAGAACCGCTCTGCACCAATTATTCCGGCTAAAGGTGATATCACTGCATTACCATATATAAGATGATTAATATTATGGAAATAATATAAACTGACCCATATGTCAGTTGACCAGGTCAAACTGGCCAACAGTCTGATCACAATTAAAAATTCACAAAGGTTTTTCCATAAAGTAACAAACAACTCTTAGTTTTTTACTTACCCAGCAAACAGAGTGTGTGAAGTTTTTTTCGCAGGTTTCGATTAATCTTTTCACAGAAGCTAACGGGCTCCCAGCCATCCTGCCAAAATGGTATAGACACAGTTTCCCCAAAGTGATACAACTGCAGTCCACAGCAGCCCACTGCATTCATAATGGAAGCATTACTGAGTACCTGAAAAACAATGAAACCTTTCATAATGCTAACTATGGCAAAGACATTGAGAGAATAAGAATACAGTATAGTCTCGGTTTACGCGGACAATTAAACCCATGGAGGTCCGCGTAAAACGAGAAACGCGTAAACGAAATAACAGAAATAAAGACTGGGCTGACCCCCAGACTACCCTTTTTCCGACACAATACGTACGTTGTAGTAAAAATAACATCTTAATTTTATGATGGTATACACACACAATTAATATTTAAAAGAAATATCAATAATACAGTGGGGTATGCTATAACGAAGGGTCAAGACGTACCTGGCGCTCCTCTCGGAGCAGCCAGGTCAACTGTTAAGTTGGCCCATACCAACCCCCTCCCCACCGGAATATCAACAAGTTCTCGCCAGAAGTTACAATTTCATCTCGGAAAGGAATGGAACCAGTGTTAAACAGAGGTGAACAGTGGTGAACAGTGCTTAAGTCAGTGAGAACAACTCAACAGTAACAGTCGTACCCAAGTTAACCTTCACACAGTGAGGTCCCAGGTACCCAGTGATAACGACCCAACAACAACCAGCGATGTGTTAATCCGTCTACGATAGGAAGGCCTGGGACCACACCTCACTCATATAACACCATCTGTGAGGGAATTACTACACCACATCAGGTCCCTCATAACACCATCTGTGAGGGAGTTACTAAACCACGTGAGGCCCCTCATAACACCATCTGTGAGGGAGTTCCTACACCACGTGAGGCCCCTCATAACACCATCTGTGAGGGAATTACTACACCACGTGAGACCCCTCATAACACCATCTGAGGGAACTACTACACCACGTGAGGTTCCTCCTAACACCATCTGGGAGGGAGTTACTACACTACGAGTTTGCTGTTCAACACCTACATTAATCTGTATGTTCACTGTATGTTCCTTTACCTTTCTCTAATGAAGGCTTTTGTTAAACCACCAATGTATGTAATAAGTCATTTATGTCCAATGTATATTTTCAGCCTTCGGGCTGCAGAACTTTTTCAATAAACCGTTAATAATTATTATTATTATTATTATTATTATATTCCTATAACGAACGGTTTTACCTATAAAATTGAGAATGCTATAACGAACGAAACTCCTACAACGAACATTATTTAATTGTTTTTTCTTTTTTTTTCTAATTTATTGTTTTTTTATTACAAATATTAATGATATTCTTTATTTCAGGGGTTTAGATGCATATTTATGCACTTTCTTACAATTTTTACAATTTTATATTATATTTTTCAGTGTTAAGTGGCTGTATTTGGGGGCCTGGAACGGATTAATCCTATAATGAACGAATGCTATAACGAACAAGGTTCTAGAACCAATTAGATTCGTTATAGCATACCCCACTGTATTAGGTTTTTTAACACTTACGTTAGTAGAAGAGATGGCTGGGCACACGGGGATGAGGGGTTGATTCCGAGGCAGAGGGCAGATTATTGGCTCTCACCTGAATTAATTGTATCACCTGTATCACTATCCACCACAGAGGCTTGCAGGGCCTCTTTGTCAAACCCCTCAAAGTCCATATCCTCACTATCACTGACTTGGGCTGGCTGTGGTGGGTGAAGAACTCGGTAATGTTTTGTTGACTGGGCGACCTTGTGCGCACCCTGCCCGCACCGCTTCCCGCGTAAATGATGGAATGTACCGCGTAACTAATAATTGCCGGTCTGGCCAGGTGCCGCGTAAATGACCAACCGCGTAAAGGAAATCCGCGCAAATCGAGACTATACTGTGTTGGTAAAAACAAGAAACACGTTTGTTGCCACACATGCCCTGCAGCACAAAGTGTTGACCCAGGACCTTCTACAGTGACTTAACTTTTGAAATCTGGTGTTCTGCACATTGTCTAACGATCAAACAAATTCAAGGGATTTTAAAACGTCATTTCTGAGAATTACCTGCTAGACGATGTTAAGACTTTTGACCTTCCTGTGACCTTAACCTGTATCACAGGGACTTTGATGTTATATACTATTGATGATAAAACACAACAAAGTGCACTGATACAAGATCTGTGACCTCCTGTACATTAAATTTACCGTAAATACTTGAGTACAGTTCGAGTTTTTATGATCAAATTCTTAAGCAAAATATAGTGGGTTGGACTATACTGTATAGGAATAATATTATAGAGTGGTTAAAATTATCACATTTTTGTGGGTCATTTACAGTGAACAATAGCTTACCTGTACAGTACATCAGTACATACTCGCAGTAGACTAACATTATCGGTAAGCTGCTTTATCCTGGGCTTGTCTACTTTACCTCTATATTTTTTCTGTATGTTGCTACTATATATGGCCCTTTAAATCTTCAATTACCTGATGCAAATAAAGATTTACCATAATTTTTGTTTTTCCTTTGCGTGTGTTTATATTGTTGGGAGATTTTCACCCATTCCTCACCTGTGAACTGTATGCTATGTTAGATACAGTATACTTTATTATTATTATTATTATTATTATTTTTTTTTTTTTTGCTCGTTACATGCAAAGAATTCTACCTATACAGGATATGCCTCCCCCAAAAAAAAGAGAAAAAAATTATCATAAGGTCAAAAACAAAGGGAATATAAATTTCTTCAAATACTAGTGTTGGCGGAGTATGGGAGCACCTTTGCTTGGGGTAGGCAGAGGCAGTGTAGGTGCAGTGTTATGGCAGGTGTCGAGACCAAATGACCAGTATTCCCGAGACTGTGATGCAGTGTGTACGATAACTTGTATAATTTTTGTTTTTTCGCTTTCATTAATGCAATTTATATGCTTTTCTTAATGCTGTTTATATGCCTACAATTTAAGTTTTGATATAGCAGTGTGCAATTAAAGCTAATTTTAGGAGTTGTATCTAGCAAAATTTATAAAGAGGAATTGGTAACTATGGTAATATTTAGTTTCAGTGTTGGTAACACTGTTCATTGTGTCAGCTGTTGCGGTGGTGATCAAGATCAAGACACGTTGGTGAGAATCTTGTGTCTTGCTACAAAACTTGGCTACGATTATACCAATATTTCTCGACGGCTAGGGTCAGATTATACTCAGGTATATGAAAAAGTCAATATTTTACCACAAATTCAGGGGTGGAACTAGACATGAATATGCAGTAAGTCAGTGATTCTTAAACTATGAACTTTTATTGCATGGAAATGAACACAATTCAACATAAGTTTGTCTACTTTGCTTTAATTTCCCTGAAGGTACTAATTATTCCTATTCACTCATAATTTTGGACTCATTTGTGAGTGTAGAGGCTGAGTGGATACAGCGTTTACCTCTTGTCCTGTGGGTGACTGGTACGCTCCCGAGGTACTCTCAGTCCACCCAGCTGTCACGTTCCACTTAATATCACCCAAGATATTTGCCTTTATTTAATTCTAAATCAAATTCAAAATAACCAACCTGTTCAGTTGGTTATTTCTGAACACAGCTATTACTCTCATATGACGGATGCCGTAAAATCAGTCCCATTTACTCATAGTCTGAACAAATTTCATCACCAACACCGAATTTGTTACACAATTTGCAACAAGAAAAACATTAGATTACTCTGACTTAAAATAACACAACAGACTGCCCGGGTGTTACGCACATGCTCACAGCATAATAATTACTGTACCATATTTAATATCCCATTTTCTTCATATTAGAAAATCATCAGGTACAAAATGAAATGTGACACCCGTTAGTTTGCCCCCTCCCCAGGGCATGACAATATGTTACCGAAATATAAACAAAACAATGACTAGAAATTCCCTCTTGAAAGAAAGCAAGTAAAATATCCCACAGAAAACTCACCTCGATAGGGATACCCAACTGATGGGCACGCAGCTTAAGGTCTGTGTGTGTAGTGGCACCAAGAGGATCCCCAACCACCAGTAAGGCAACATCGCTAGATCCCGCGCCCACAAATAAGTCATCGGATGCTTGCTCTACTTGCTCCCGATCTGCTAAAATTACCTCACGACCGTAGAATTTCTCCTGGAATATAACATCAGACAATTATAACTGTTCATCCACTTTGAGAAGCTACACAAAAATTTTTGTCTCGAATGAGTTTGTTGCAACACCAGGAAGAGAAACAACACTGATAAAAGATGAAAATTTACTCCTTCCATACCAAAATTTATCCCACACATTTCCCCAAAATAGGGTACAATCCCCTTGAAAATTGACTAGTATCATGTTTGGCTGAATTACTTTAATTCTTGTGTAGAAAAACTTTGAAATCCATTTTCTCAAAACCAGATTTTTGCAAGGTCGTCACTAATATCCGTAACACCTCATTTGAGAGGCACGTACGTACAGTCTCGTTCAAGATTCTTCGAACACTGGTTTTGACAGCTGGGAACTCAAGGCCGTTTGTTTACTATAGCACGCAGTAAATATTAAGAATAAATGTAAGAGTTATCGGTGATTGGTTACTTAGTTCCCTGTTGCTTAATTTAAAGGTTGGGCTTTGTTGTTTCGTATTATATTATACTACGTACTATAGTAAACAAACGGCCTTGAGTTCCCAGCTGTCAAAAACAGTATTCGAAGAATCTTATATGAGACTGTATATGTTCTATGTTCAGCCTATCACAGCGATTTACAACTCTTTATGTGGTATGTGGTATGGAGTGATTTTTTAAGATATTAGTGTGCGTTTGTGTTCTCTCTCATGGCTGTGCATCAACTGACATGTGCCTAAATATATTGAAGGTGTGAATTTTACATATGATAAATGAAAATTTTTGTCTAATAAAGTTAAAATATGTTATATCAAAACAGTAGTATGCTAATTTGCAATACACGAGGAGCAAATGTTTTGGCTCGAGTGATTAAAAGTCTGAATGCTGACACAAACACCATAACCAAAATATATTGCCAAGTTTAAATTAAAATTTGATGAGGATGTTTAAAAAGCATGAACTTGCAAACCTTCTTCACCCAAACACTGTACAGCAGTTTTTTTTTTTTACGGGGAATAGCCCACCGGGGCACAGGTCACTGACCCACAACGGGGCCTGGGGGAGCGAAAAAATAAGAGGAAAAATAAATTTAAAATAGAAAAGAAAAAGATTACAAATACAGTACAGTGAGTTCTGCTATAAAGCTTGTTTTGATAACGCGAATTTGCTCTAACGCGATTTATGAATTAGGAACGATATTTGTATAACGCGAACGCTTGTTTGCTATAACGCGATTTTTGCTTACTATTTCTCCAATTTTGTGGTATAAACTGTGAATATGGTGAAGAAGAATATCTCCAAGAAGCGTTCTTGTGATAGAATTCCCGGTGATGATCGAAAAAGAAAGGATATAACACTTGAAGAGAAGCTCGATGTTATCAACCTCAAAATCACCCTTCTCCCCCATCAAGTTACATTCATATTTTTTCAAGGTAAAGTGTTACATTTACTGTATGATTTCATTATTAGATATGAATGTAACATTTATTTAGACTGTGCTATCCTTTGTGTTACGCTAACTACTAAATTTTTTCGATTTCGAGTAATCTGCACCTAACCCTATTTTCTCCATAAGCCCTGTTATTTCTATTACGCGATTTTCTATAACACGATATTTTACAAGAACACAATTATCGCGTTATAGCAGAACTACCTGTATATTGATCTCCACCACGAAGATGCAGGAAAACCAGATTTTTAAAGCGAAACAGATTGTATGAGTATGGAAACACAGAAGAAGGCAGAGCATTCCACAGAAGGATGCACTATAACGGGTTATTCTAGTGTGACCGACATCCACACAGAAACGGTGGGCACCGCAGGCAAGACGAGTGTTATGAGCCCATGGCCTTGCCGGCAGTACACAGGATACCAAATCCACCGAACATTGCCTGTTAAAGTACCTGCAAAAGAGAAAAGGAAGAGAGATTATCAACTAAAGGAGATTTAATAAGACAAAATGCCTTTGATTCCACCCTATCTAACAGTTGGACAGAAGAAGAGCCACCCCAGATATGAAAGCAGTACTCCAAGTTAGGACGAATGAATCCCTTATAAACTTGAAGCAACTGCTCAGGAGTGAAGTAACTACGGCATCTGTACAGCATTCCCAGCTTTCAGGAGGCAGCTTTAGCAATTTTGTGCATGTGTGGCTTCCAGGACATATTAGAGGAAATGGTGAGGCCTAGCATATCCATTTTAGAATTTGGCAGAATGATTGCTTCCTCAAATGTAATTGGTGGCAGATCATCTAATTTGGAAAGTGTAATTGGTAAATACCGAGTTTTATTGCTATTGAATTAAACCAAGTTTGTACCTCCCCATTCGGAGATGCTGCACAAATCCACATTAATAGATGAAATGATATCAGCTCTAGAAACAGATCTAGTTTGAGAATTAGGGGAAAGGGGAAATTGTGAAGAAGAGTGAAGAACAGAATCATCAGCGTAAAAATGGATGAGTTAGTCGTTGTGTGAAGTAAATCATTGATAAAAAGAAGGAAGAGATTAGGTGAAAGAACAGAACCCTGTGGGACACCACTATTGGTAGAGAAAGAGCGGGAGATCGATCCCTCGATAACAACTGCCATGGATCGGTTCTCAAGGAAGCTAGAGATTAAGAGAAAGTGGGGGAGAGAAACCATAAGAGGGAAGTTTAGAAAGCAAAGACTTGTGCCATACCCTGGCAAATGCTTTGGAGATGTCGAGGGCCACACCGAAAGTTTACTCATAATCCCTAAGAGAGCAGATCACCAGTAAATCTCGCCTGGCGAAAGCCATATTGCTGATCAGACAGAGAAAATGAGAGTTTAAGAGAGTTTCGAAAATCTTAGAAAGGGTTTAAGTTAGGGCAATGGGGCGATAGTTGGAGGGGTTAGAATGGTCACCGTTCTTCAGGATGGGCTGAACCAAGGCATGCTTCCAAGAAGAAGGAAAAGTTTGGGTTTTGAGGCAAAGGTGATAGAGGCGAGCAAGCACAGGGGCCAGAGCTTCAGCACACTCCCTCAGAACATGAGGAGGTATTCCACCCGGTCCATGCACCTTACTCACATCCAACCTGGATAACACACCGGCAACCCTACGAGGTGAGGTCATAGGAAAGTGCATATGTTCAGTTGGAGCAGGGGTGATAGAGTTGGAATCGTCTAAGGTGGAGTTAGAGGAGAATTAGGTGCAAAGAGATTGGCTTTATCAGGGGGAGAGTTGGCTATAGAGTTATCAGGTCAGAAGAGACGAGAAAAAGAGGGAGTGCAGAAGTTATTACAGATGTTTTTGGTTAAGGACCAGAAGGATTTATTAGAGGAAGAGTTTGTTGGGTCAGCGGTCTTTCTTTTTAGAAAAAATTCTACTTGGCCCTACGAAGAAAAGCCTTACAACGATTCCTAGAAGTAATGAAAGAGGAGTGGGCAATAGGAGGAGGAGACAGTTTTACAGCTTGATATGCCCTATCTCTCTCCCTACAAGCAAGAGAACAGGAGCGATCAAACCATGATTGCAAAGTGAAAGTTTTGGTAGATGGGATAAATGCACTCACACCACCCTGTATAACCCCAGCAATGCTGTCAGGACATACGGAGGCATCCTGAGTGGAAAAGCAACATTCATCCCAAGGGAAGTCAGAGAAGAATTCTCGCAAGGATTGCCAGTTTGCCCTCCGATAATGCCATAGTTATTTTGTTTGTTTTTTTACGGGCATTAGCCCACCCGGGCACAGGTCATTTTTTGATCCACATCAAGGACTGGGGGGGGGGGGCGAAGATATAATAAAATAATAATACCGTAATAAAATTAATAACATTTAATATAAATTATAATTATAATAGTAATAGTAATAATAAAGAACCATAAATAAATACACAAATTTAAAAATATATCAATAGAGAAACAATATACAGGTACTGTATGTTGTGTTGTCAATAGTAAAAGAAACAATTGAGACCCTGCAATTGTGTAAATGAGGCAGAAATTAAGATCAGCAACCTGGGACTTGGTCACAATTTTCGTGATGCCATAAGGCAGCAGCAGGGTCTACCATTAGACAACACATTATGCTTCCAATATCTTCCCAGGCGGTAGTACCTCCCTGTTTGGTAGCTGCCGACTACATCACATTCCAATTCTGATAATGTACATGAATATAATTCCAAACTTACCAATCCCTCTTTTCCACCACTGATGATGGACGTGTACGCCTCCAAGTAGACCCGCTCACACTTCTTGATGACCTCCAGCCCACGTACAGTCACATCTCGGGGATCACCCAACCCCAGGCCAATTAGGTAAAACACCATAACCCTTATTTCAAAACCTGCAATGATATCACAAATTATCTACCCAAGCCAAAGGCAAAGAAATACAGGATCATGAATAAAAAAGTACACAGTTGAGGAATGACTGGACAACAACTCTACTAACATACAGTACAGTACAGTACAGTACTTAATAACAATAAAACAACACTTGTAGCCCTTCTCTGGGCCGTCGTCACTGTATTAATTTGGTTAATACCAGACAATTATATTCAGGTCAGAGGGAGGTTGGTACACAGAGGGTTAAAAATATTTTCATGGGTATAAAGGAGAAGTACCAATAAATTCTTTCTAATTGCATGAGAATGGCAAACTGTGGACAAGGAAATAATTTCCTGTAATTTAATTTTTTACAACTATAGCACTTCCCTCCTAAACACAAATATTTGGTTAGGTATTTTAGTATTATTTTTTTTTTTTAGAATAACAGGAGTCGATAGACTTGGACAAAACTTTGTGGAAATGTTATTTACAATCTATTCCATAAATAATGGTCAATGGAAACAAGAATATACAGAACGTATTAGAACTTGACCTGACCTGACCTGACCTACCAGAAAATTTCATTTTAAAACATACCTAACAACACTAAATTTATTGTCATTTCCATTTATCTATTTAATGGATAGTTTAACCATTTCCAAAAAATTTCGTCCAATACTATTAACTCTTCTAGTGTTATTCTAATAACCTTCGTAACCAACAACCAGACAAATATCCACATCTTATAATTTATCGTTCCTAAAACTAATTATCCAAACCTATCTAAAGAAACTAGAGTAATTATGATCATCAATTATTGTTTCCTTTTTGTCTTCCTGAGGTAAGAAGCACTCCTCCACTATTACCGTGAATGTCTCCAAGTTGGGACATAGTTCAAGTGAACAACCCTGCCACACAAAATATACCAACTCAACAATTACATGGTTTAGACCTGGTTAAATGGGTTTAGTATCATATAGTTATTTTGTACACGGGTATTTCCAGCCCACCTCTCAAACAATATTGTTTGAGAGCCAATTTTAAATATATTTCAACACTATGTACACAACTTTTTAACATTCTCGCGCCCCCATACTCTTTAATCCAACTCCCATATCACATTATTGTGTCATTTTACTTGGAAACGTACTATAGTTGATGCTGAGAGTAGTATACGGTGTTTACAGGATCATAAGGCATATGTCACCTGAACAAGTTCAATTATCTGTAAGACGGTATTGTTCAGTCGGCGTCCAGAATATTTCAATCCTCATGTTTTACCGAACAAAAATATCCCCTAAAGTTTTAGCTGAAATGGAGCGTCTTTATTTTCTTCACAGGTTAGTATATAAAGTACTTTATGTCAGTCTACAAGATAAGTTTCGTACCTAATAGATGAAATCGGTTCGATATCACAACACAAAGGGAGAAGTGGTGAAGTGATGGCCCCCGGCGACCTGTGGCAGCTATACCCGCCATGATGCCTCGCTGGCCTTTAACAAATACCTATTAAATACTATATTATTTAATTTCCATTAGAAAATAGTACCAAGTATTCATTATTTTATGTATAATTTAAAAAAATAAATCTTTTTTGATATATTAAACTGATTTTTTTTCAGCTTTGGCATTACCTTCTGGAGAAAACTTTAAAAGCACAAATGATTAGCCGAAAACGATATAAATTCCTCACATAGTTTCAGGTAAACTAACACAGGTGAAATGCATCACGTGTGAATGGTACTTCTGCATGTAATGTACACATCACGAGCACAACTGAAAGGTGCAAATGCAAACATGAATTAATACTCAAGCTACATATATTAATAAGGATATAAAAGCGAGGGCCATCAAATCTAGCACCTACAAAATTGTTTTTCGCATGCCAGACACGTGGATTGTAGAAAGATAAAAAGGGTACAAGTTGTACTGTACAACACACCTGCTGGGTGGCATGTATCACACTCAAAATTTATGTCACTGCATTTTCTCTATTTTACCAGATGCGGTGGGAATGGTGAACCTCATTACCTCGCAGTTTAGTACATTTTTTTTATAATAAAGCTGGAACGGGATACTCAACCTTATTTACAATATTGTATCTCACAGTTAACTCTGCAAGTCGATCCTAGAGTTTGTAAGTCTTCTCTGTAGCGAGATTGCATGAACAGCATATGCCTTTTCAAGCTATCATAATCACCATTAAAGCTGCATTATCAGAGAACACTGCGGGGTACCACGGCGCACTGTATTGGGCCCGTTGTTGTTTGCTTCATAAATTATATGCCAGAAGATAAAAACTCCTCCAAGCTATTTAGGGAAATTAATATCCAAACAGGTTGTGAAGAGCTACAGAAAGACCTCTATGAGCTTCAAGAATGGTCGAAGAAATAGCTGCTAAGATTCAATGTCACGAAGTGTAAAAGGATGCACCTGGGTCACACAAACAGTAAGGAGGCGTATCACATGTCCCAAAAGGAAGAAGAGACTGCAGTAATTGAGACCTACCCCTAGTATGAAAAAGACCTGGGTGTGTATATTCTCGGACCATTGTGAGAACAAGGTGAATCAGGCAACGAAACTAGTAGGTACTATAAGAGGGTTGTTTAGACATCTGGATGGTTCGTTGCTCGTCACGAGAATGGATGAAACTGGATCCTTGCTGGTTATCAAACTAGAACAAGTTGGGAAAGAGATCCTTGCTAAGACTGAGGAAGTAGCCTATAGAATGGAGGTGGTAGCGAAGAGTTATGCTCAGGCCTTAGCAGGGGCACGGGGAGTAGCGGAGAGTAATGCAGTCCCACAACAGGTTCTACAGCAGCGAGGGACTCTGTTCTCTTTTATCCTCTTCACCACTGATAGGCTCGTAAGCCGCTTGGGCGATCAGTCACGTCTCTGATTACATTTCCTTTTCTTTTATCCTCTTCACCATAAGATCGGCTTGTTAGCCGCTTGGGCGATCGGTCACGTCTCTTTTCATTTATATTCTTCACCAAAAGATCGGCTCGCTAGCCGCCCGGGCGATCGGTCACGTCTCTGTCACGCACTGTTGGCAAATACTGGGCATGCACCGGCTCCTGAATGTACCTGAACCCGCTCCAGTGTTGGTCAAGTCTTCTCTTGAAAGAGCTCACACTCGGTGCCGTCACAACACTCTCTGGTAGATTGTTCCAAGAGTTTACAACCCTCACTCCGAAAAAGTTTGCCCTCACGGTTTTCTGGACTTGCGGCTTCTTCAATCTTGAGCTGTGACCCCTTGTGGGGCGAGCGTCCGCCAGCTCCAAGTAAGGACACTCAACTGAGTAGTGCCCCCTGAGATGCTTATACACCTCAACTAGGTCCCCCCTTGCCCGTCTGTAGTATTAGCTAGGCAAGTTCAGGCGCTCCAATCTCTCAGGGTAGCTGAGGTGCCGAAGTGCAGGCACCAGTCTGGTGGCCCTCCTTTGAACATTTTCAACCAACTGACAGTCCCTAGCATATCTCGGGACCAGATGGGGTGACAGTACTCCAGATGGGGAAGCACTTCACTCCTGAAGATCGTCACGAGGGACGGACCGTCTAGATATCTGAACGACCTTCTTACAAGACCCAATAATTTATTTGCCTGATTTACCTTCTTCTCACAATGGCCCGAGAACTTCAGCTCATTGTCAACATACACACCTAGGTCCTTCTCACACACAGTCTCAACTAGTGCATTTTCTTCATCCCGTTGGGACATATGATACGCCTCCTTACCGTTGGTACGCCCCAGGTGCATCCTCTTACACTTCGTGACATTAAATCTCAGCAGCCATTTCTTCGACCATTCCTGGAGCCCCCAGAGGTCCTTCTGCAGCTCTTCACAGTCCGCTTGGTTCTTAATTTCCCGAAATAACTTGTCGTCATCGGCAAACATTTGTATGGAGGAGTGTACAACGTCAGGCATGTCATTTATGAAACAAACAAACAACAGCGGGCCCAATACACTGCCCTGTGGTACCCCACTTGTTTCAGGTACACATGGCGATTTTGTGCCATTAATCAGCACACACTGCTTGCGATCATGTAGAAAGTCTTCTATCCACGCTAGGACATTTCCCCGAATTCCGTACCCTTCCAGTTTGATTTTCAGCCTTTCGTGGGGTACACTGTTGAAAGCCTTGGCAAAATCTAGGTAAATATTGTCGATATTACCACCCCATTCCAGAATATGGGTCCAAATATCCAATACCTTGAGCAATTGTGTTAAGCAAGAGCGCCCCGGCATAAAACCGTGTTGGCAATCTTTTACAAGGTTGTTTCGTAGTAGATGTTCCATCGCGGCATCTCTGATAATACTCTCAAGTACTTTACATATTATGCTGGTCAGGCTCACCGGTCTATAGTTGTTCGTGGAGTGACTATCGCCCTTCTTGAAGATAGGACTCACATAAGCCACTTTCCATTCACTGGGGACCATTTGTTCATCCAGGCATTTACAAAACAGAATCTTCAGGGGCTCTGCAAGCTCGTTGCACAGCTCTCTTAGCACTCTAGGATGCACCATGTCAGGTCCGGGACTCTTATGGACCTTTAGCCTGGACAGTTTATTTCTAATACCCTCTTCTGTGAACACAATGTGGGTCAGTGCTGTGTCGAAACGTCTGTCCTCAAACGCAGGAAGGTTAGTTGCATCCTCTCTTGTGAACACTGAGGAAAAGAAGCTGTTCAATGCCTCAGCTTTATCCTGGTCAGAATCTGCATAACTACCATCTTCAAGCCTCAGGTCTGATATTCCTACTCGCGTTTTCAATTTCGACTTTGCATAGCGGTTAAACGCCTTTGGGTTTGACTTGACCTCGCGTGCAACCAGCCTCTGGAACTCCTTTCCAGCCCTCCTACACTCTATCTTTGCTTGGTTTCTGGCTCTTGCATACATCCTCCTGTCTTGCTCATCGTTTGACCCAACCCACGTCTTCAATTTCTGGGTTTTCTTCTTAATTTTGTCGACCGCCGCAATTTAGGGTGTGTCATAGGAGGGAAGATCAGCTAAAACTAATGGCCCATCACTTTTTTGGTAGATTTTAGTGTATATAAACAGAAACTAATTTCAGTTTCAATATTTTGCAACCTTTTGCTAGGTAAATTTTAGCGTGAAATTTATCGAAAATCTAACGTACAGCTGCATTAGTGCATTACAATTAAATAGTGAACATCGCTTTCTGACTTCATTCTTTAACAACCCAACTAACAATATTTTTTTCTGTTTCAGATTCTGATGCATTTATAAGTTGATAATATTTGCGATGGCTGCTTGTGTCAGGACGAGGAACCAAAAATCCAGCCATCTCAGTCACTATCTTGGGTCTGGGAGAGAGCTCCTGAAGTTTGGAGTTGCCTACATTGAGAGATGCTTTGAGATACGGTGTTTTTAATCAGGCAAATCAGTGAAAAGAACCAAAGAACTTACACAAACAAAGACATTGCCAGTGATATGACCAAAGCTCTCTTGGCACAGTACACTCTGGCTAACGCTCAGTTCAAGCCTCCAGTCATAACAAGTCAGAAGAAGATTAGTGAGAGACTGCTAGCCAGTTGGGAAAAGGCAAGAGATATCCTCTTGGGGAGAGGAAAACTTGCAGTTATGGACAGCTTTGCTAAGCAACTGGACCAGTTATTTGACATAATTACTTGCAAATGCCCAATTGTTCTCTGTCCTGAGTTTGGATGCGATCGTGACTGTAAATCCGAGGCCCACATCTCCTGTATTTGCAAGCGTGAACTGAAGATTCCTGTGATCGAACTGGCATTTGTCAAAGCACAGAGAGAGAAGACTGGCAGTATAGGGGCTCTCATGATTTCTAGCCAAGATATTTCGGAGTCCAAGAGACAGGAGGCTGCCACAGAGAGACAGAAGAGGAGAAGAGTTGCCGAGGAAAAGAGACTTGAGAAGGCCCAGGTGAGGCAAAAGGGTGATGATTGGAGTCAAGCTGATTCAGCTTAATGACTTCCCATGGCTGGAACTGGAGGCTGACCAGGAGAATGGTGACTTTGTCCTTAACCCAGAAAATAATGATCCCAAACCTTCCAGGCATAAGATTCGAAATAGGAAAGATATCCTGAGCATAGCTCTGGCCAGCATGCGACACCACACTGGTCTCAGAGAAACTGCAGAGATAGCAACAGCTGCCTGGATTGACGGTGGTTTGGTAACACCTGATGATGTTCACCTGGTGATAGATCATAACAAAGTAAGGAGAGCTCAGGAGAAACTTGTCAGTAACCTAGAAGAGGAGTTTGATAAGGGGATAAGAGAAAATGGAATCAATTGTTTGTTCTTTGATGGGAGAAGGATGACACCAAGCAGCCCATGAAAGGAGATTCTGGACAAGTTGTTCCTCGCTGGTGGTG